AAATTCGACAATCTAAGCAAAATGGACAAATTTCTAGAAACACATAGTCTCCCAAAACTGGACCAGGAAGAGATAGAAAACTTGAACAGACCAATATCAACAGAAGAAATTGAAGATGTAATCAAGACTCTCCCAGCAAACAAAAGCCCAGGCCCAGATGGGAGTTTTACCGAACATTCAAGGAAGAACTAACACACATTATCCTCAAACTATTTCAAAAAATTCAAGAAGAAGGAAGACTTCCAAACTCCTTTTATGAAGCCAGCATAATTCTAATTCCAAAACCAGAAAAAAGACACTACGAAGAAAGAAAACTACAGGCCAATATCCCTGATTAACATAGACGCCAAAATCCTGAACAAAATACTAGCAAATCGGCTCCAGCAATACACCAAAAAAATTATCCACCATGACCAAGTGGGATTCATCCCAGGGATGCAAGGCTGGTACAATATTCGCAAATCAATAAACATGATACACCACATAAATAAAATAAAAACCACATGATCATATCAATAGATGCCGAAAAAGCCTTCGACAAAATCCAGCATCCATTTCTGATAAAAACGCTCAGCAATGTGGGAATAGAGGGATCATATCTAGACGTAATAAAGGCCATATATGAAAGACCTACAGCCAACATCATACTCAATGGGCAAAAACTAAAATCATTTCCCTTAAGAACAGGAACAAGGCAAGGATGCCCACTTTCGCCACTCTTATTTAACATAGTACTGGAAGTCTTAGCCACAGCAATCAGACAGGAAGAAAAAATAAAAGGGATCCAAACTGGAAAGGAGGAAGTGAAACTGTCATTATTTGCAGATGACATGATACTATACGTAGAAAACCCCAAAGACTCCATCAAAAATTTACTAGACTTAATGAATGAATTTGGCAAAGTAGCAGGATACAAAGTTAATGTCAAGAAATTGATGGCATTCTTATACACCAATGATAAACTCACAGAAAGAGAAACTAAGAAAACAATCCCACTTACCATTGTGGCAAAAAAATTAACATACCTAGGAATAAACTTAACCAAAGAAATAAAGGACCTATTCGCAGAGAACTACAGGTCATTGAAAAAAAAATAGAGAAAGATATAAAAAAGTGGAAGCACATACCCTGTTCATGGATTGGGAGAATTAACATCGTTAAAATGTCCATGTTACCCAAAGCAATCTATAGATTCAATGCAATCCCCATCAAAATACCAATGGCATACTTCACAGAATTAGAACAAGTACTTCAAAAGTTCTTATGGAACCAAAAAAGACCTCAAATAGCCACAGCAATCTTGAAAAGGAAGAACAAAGTTGGAGGGATCACATTACCAGATTTCAGGTTATACTACAAAGCCACCATAATCAAAACAGCTTGGTAGTGGCAGAAGAACAGGCATATAGACCAGCGGAACAGAACAGAGAACCCAGAAATGGACCCAAAGCAATATGCTCAATAAATATTTGACAAAGGGGGCAAGAGCATACAGTGGAGTAAAGACAGCCTCTTTAATAAATGGTGCTGGGAAAATTGACGGCTACATGCAGAAAAATGAAACTAGACCATCAACTTACACCCTACACAAGAATAAACTCAAAATGGATAAAAGACTTAAATATGACTCATGAATCCATAAAAATCCTAGAAGAAACTGTAGGCAACAAAATTTCAGACATCATACGCAGCAGAATTTTCACTGATACATCACCTAAGGCAATAGAAACAAAGGAGAAAATGAATACATGGGACTACATCAAACTCAAAAGCTTCTGCACAGCGAAAGATACAATCATCATCCCCCACTGTATGGGAGAGCATCATTGCCAATGATGTATCAGATAAGGGGTTAATTTCCAGTGTATATAGAGTGCTTATACAACTCCACAAAAGGAAGACAAAGAACCCAATTAAAAAATGGGCAGAGGAACTAAATAGACACCTCTCCAAACAGGACATACAAATGGCTAAGAGACATATGAAGAAATGCTCATCATCACTAATCATCAGAGAGATGCAAATTAAAACAACAATGAGGTATCACCTCACACCTGTCAGAATGGCCACCATCAAGAAGTCATCAAACAAAAAGTGTTGGCGAGGGTGTGGAGAAAAGGGGACTCCAGTACACTGCTGGTGGGAATGCAGACTGGTGCAGCCACTATGGAAAACACTATGGTGTTACCTCAAAAAATTAAAAATTGAACTTCCATTTGACCCAGTGATCCTACTTCTAGGAATATACCCTAAGAAGCCTGAAACACCAATCAGAAAGAATATATGTACCCCCATGTTTGTAGCAGCACTATTTACAATAGCTAAGATCTGGAAACAGCCCAAGTGTCCATCAGTAGATGAATGGATAAAAAAGCAGTGGTACATATACACAATGGAGTACTACGCAGCTGTAAGAAAGAAAGATCTCTTATCCTTTGAGACGACATGGAGGGACCTGGAAAGTATCATCCTAAGTGAAACAAGTCAAACAGAGAAAGACAAGTATCATATGATCTCACTTATTTGTGGAATATAATGAACTTAACAGTCTGAGGAATGGGGTAGACCCAGAGATGTGGAAGTGGGGTACAGACTGACAATCCCCAGAAGAGGAGGTGGTGGGGGAGAGATAAACCACAGAACTTATATGCATGTATGCATGAACAGTGGACATGGACAACAAACTTGGGACAGGGCAGGGAGGGAGGGAGAGGGGGGAATCAGTGGGGGAAAAAGGAGAAACATCTGCAACAAAAATTAATAGTAAAAAAAAAAAAAAAAGAACTGGTCTGAAGGGTCTAAATAAAAATTTTGGACCTATCCTCTCAATGACTTGCCGATAAGCGTGGTGTCCTAGAAACTGAGGAGAAGCAATGTTTTTCATTTTTTGTTTTTTGTTTTTTCCAAGAGAGGGGTTTGCTGAATTCTCGGTGAGCCCTGTGACCACGGCCACTTGTCATTTCCAAATATACACAACTCCTTTACTCTGGCACCATCTGAGATGTGTGTGCATAGGGAAAAAGCTATGTATTTCCACCGTGAGTTTTCACACTTGGAGCCCCTCCAGACACCATTCTGAGTATGGCGCTCTGTTGCAGGTACTAAAAATGGTGCTTTCCTCAAAATAAAACCTTTCAAGATCCCTTAGTAGCTATTTGGGGACTGAAATTCAATTTCAATTCTCCACCCTTTGGCCAGCTGTAGATTCAAAACGCTTACATAAAACAAAAAGGGTATGTACTTCACGGCAATTGTGTTTTTTCCCCTGCAATAAAAAAGTGTGCTATAGTTACCACAAACTATATTTTTACTTAGAAAATACATAAAACAGCCCTGCCTGGTGTGACTCAGTTGGTTGGGTGTTGTCCCATGCATTGAGGGGTTGCAGGTTCAATTCCCGGTCAGGGCACACGCTCATGTGGGTTTGATCCCTGGTCAAGAAAGGGGGGTGGGGCGTGTGGGGGGGGGGCAACTGATAGATGTTTCTGTCTCACATTGCTGTTTTTTCTCTCCCTTCCTCTATCTCTAAAATCAATAAAAACATATTTAAAAAAAAAAAGAAAATACACAAAGCAATAATGCACCTCAAGAAGAGAGAAGAGATTCTTTTTTTAAATTTTATTTTGTAGGTAGCTTTGATATACGCTTCAGATAGACTCACTTACTACACAGAGTTTGTGAAATCTACACCTTCATATCATAACACTCTATTTTAGGTCATTATTATCTAAAAGCACTTTACAAATCCTTTTATTCAAATCCTTTTATTACAAGTAGTTCTTGCACATAAATGTTATATCACAATAGCAAAAAAAAAATGTAAACTTCTTTTGCAAACTACATAAATACTATCATATCTGCCTTGAAGTTATTGTTACTTTAAAATCAGAATATACTCTAAATGCTGTACACAGAAAACTTTGGTCAGCAGCCTACGTGTATGAAACATTTTTCTTACTGACTTCCCTTTCATGTTGCCTACTTAGGTCTTTGAACGAGAAAAACTTTAAATAAGGCCCATATCAAAATTCAGTCCACAAGTAAGACAGAACCATGTTGATAACTATGGGCAAAATGAGATGTGAAAATTATTCCACGTACTAACTCTGACAAGCCACCAGGGGTATGGAGGTAATTGCAAATAAGGACATGAGTCAAGCTCCTATATGGAAGGACTTCAGCCTGCTTGTCAATCTACCTTTTACTCTGCTGTATGTGTTTTCAAACGACTCCCCTTTCTCTTTTCTTCAGAACACAACAGGATTGTGAACACAACAGGTGGCCAGCGAATTTGTTTCATCATCACTGTTCTTGATGTCTTGAACTGCCAATTTGAAATGTATCGATATACAGGTGCATTTACACACTCATGCACGATTAAGACCACAACAAGGCTTTTTACATTTTTATTTATTTTTTGCCTCAAGAGAAGTTTTTAATGTTGACCTGTTTATTATTACTTTACAGTGAATCCTTTTCTCAGACTGTTCTTTAAATTAAAAACCAAGTTTTATCTGGAGCTTTTACCGATTTGTTATTCTGAGATTCCTATTGAATACCTAGCTACTGGCCATGGTTTCTTTGAGCAAAAAAAACAACCAAAAAACAAAAACAAAACACAAGTACATACATACATGTGTATGTATATATGTGTGTGTGTATATATATATATCATTGCTGAAGCACTTTTAAACATTTTAAATGCATGCAGAAAGAACTACAGGTTTTCCAAACAGCTACATAAAGTGGCTCAAGTAACAGTATTATTCATTGTGGCCTAAGCCCTTTACCAACATCTTTTAAAACACAACGAGAATGGCTGCAAGGCAGCGGCAGAGCCCAGCATGCACGTCCAGGCCAGTGGTGCTGCAAGCGGTTCACAGGACAGCAAGCAGGAATCCATTGTGTTATCTTCCCTCTTCCTGTGCATTTTCTCTAAATGCACGGTGTTCTCCCTTTACTGCCCATGCGCTTAAACTATGCAAAACAATTCTTCTCTTAATGTAGCACTGGTTAATCCAGACCTCAAATAACACTGTACACGGGCTTCGTTAGAGATAGATAACTGCTCTCAACAGCTCTCTTCCCCGCGGAGGCCGGGGGGCGGGGGCATCCGGGGCTTAGGAACTGTTCTTGGAGGCCGTGTTCTGGCTGATACCTTCTTCCAGGTACTGGCTGCCCGTGTTGCTCCTGCTGAGGACTGTGGAGGTAACACGCGAGGGCCGCCGCTCCGGGTTGTTCTCCTGAAAGCAGCAGCAGATCATCTTCTTCATGGTGCTGTACATGTCCTCGTCCTTGTAGGAGTAGATGACAGGGTTCATGAGGGAGTTGAGCAAGGCCAGCAGCAGGAACCACCTCTTCACGTGATGCAGGCCGCACTCCTTGCAGTTCAGGCCGTCCAGCAGCAGAACCACCAGGCCCGGGGTCCAGCACACGACGAAGGCCCCTGCAGGGAGAGAAAAGGCAGGCAACGGGGGCTCAGACCTCGGGCTGCTTAATTAGGTTTCCTCTGGCCCAGCCCCCTTTTGGTGGCATCAAGGGACCTTTAGAATTAGTTTTGACGACTGCAAAGCAAACTTGCACCTTTCGTCTGACTGTCTGAGTGTGAGACCGGGTTTGTTAGAGGCAAACAGCTGAGGACCTTTGACCGCTCCACATTCTCTGGCACCTTCTTATCTGCTGACTCAGGTTTGCTAATTAGGGGCTCACATTTACCTCCTGCTTGCTAAGCACTACACATACCTAATCTCCTCTGTTGGTTCTCAGGACCTCACCAGGAGGCCACTGCCGTCACTATCCACGTTTTGTGAATCAGAAAACTGAAGCTCAGACCCAGGGGCATATACAGGGAGGCCTCACACACTTAACCAAACACTCAGTTGTTCTCTAAGTCAGATTTTCTGCACAGTCTCCTGAAAACGAGACACATCTATGGCATTCTCCTAGTCTTTTCACTAAGTCGCCTGCTCAAACATTTTATTCTTTATATATCCATGTTGGTGCTTAGTAAGCTCTAACATATTCATAGGCCATCTGCTTAATAATCTGCTCTAGACAGATTTTTTGTTTGGCCAGAAATAAATCTCTTTCATGATGTGCTTTTTAGCACATTTATTTAATTAGCACAATTTTTGCCTCAACTGCACATGAATGGTAGTCTCTCTGAGTCTCTAGCCATCTGATTATACTCAGCTTACCTCGAAACTTTCTGACATGTTTTTCCTAAAATGTGAGACATAGGTCCAATAGTCTCCTATTTAGTCATCATAACCTCAGGCCACAGTGCTTCTACAGCACTTAAATGAGCCAGGAACGGGTGTCTTTCCTTGAGCAATGCATCGCGCACCACACTATGAGGCATCATTAGCGTCCCCAGGAAACTGAGGCACAAGAGAAGTTAAGTGACTTGCGTATCATCAACTAGCTTGTAAGGGACATCTATTTTTGAACCCAGGCAGTCTCTCACCATAGGCCGTGCTCCTGGCCACTCTGTGACCTGCCTGCCTCCCTACTGTGATGTGGTCGCTTTCTCCCAAAGTCCTTATCACTTCTACACTTGATAATCCCGTCCCTACATATTCCCTGGGAGCTTGCAATGCGCCGGGCGGGAGCTGTACTAGGCAGTGAAAGAGGTGAAGATGCGCACTGCAGGAGCTGCAGGGCTAATGGGGGGGGGGGGGGGGGGGGGGATAAGCAAGCGAGTCTGCAAACCGCATCACCCAACTAGTTACTCTTACTGCTTAAAACTAGTCCCGGACAGTACTCCTCTTGTTGCTTTATCTTTCTGAGAGGTATCGTGATAAGCAAGTCAAGTCAAGAATTGCAGAGTCAGTGCGGGGCACGAACGTCCCTGAGCTGTGGGGTCAGACAGCTGTGCCCAGCTCCCCATCTCATGAACTACATGAAGGAAGCACATCACTGATCAGAGCCATCGCTCCCTCATTTCTAACACGAGAATAATCTCGACTGTGCAGGTGGCGGTGAGGGCCAGCGGGATGGGGAGTGGTGCCCAGCGGCCTGGGCTCACTAAGCAGTGGTTATCCCACAATCAGAAGACTCCCATTTCAGCCCCAGCCAGTTTGGCTCAGCGGTTGGAGCATCGGCCTGCGGTACAGAGAGACCCGGGTTCGGTTCCCGCTAAGGGTACATACCTTGGTTGCAGTTTGTCCCCGGCCCTGGTTGGTCGTGCGGGTGGCAGCCACTTGATGTGTCCCTTCACATCGATGTTTCTCTCTCTCTCTCTCTCTCTTCCTCTCTCTCCCTCCGGCTCTATCTGAACAAAAAATGGAAAAACGTCCTGGGGTGAGGATAAAAAAAAAAAAAAGAAGACTCCCATTTCATAATGACAGCTCACCAGTGGCTTCTACGTCTCCACCCTGTATGATTTGTGGTCTGGCTGACATGTGAGCATGAAGTGGACTTCGAGATAAGAGTTCAGGGATCTGGCTCCCAGCTCTCCCTTCCGTACAACTCTAGGAGCCCCGCGCCATCGGTCTGGGCTTCGGCCTCCTAAGCTGTAAATTGGGGACTTCAGTCTCGTTCTGGGTGTTTTTACTGTGTGTCTGGACGCTTTCATGGTATGCAATCAATTTAATGGGTTTGGGCAAGTTTCTTCTTAATGAAAGGAAGGAATGGACTAGAAGGCCCATATTGTACTACGTAGACTAAGGGAAGTATTGTTTCATGAAACTTTTGTTTCAGTTTTACAAACTATTCTTAAGTGTATGTTGGGGTATGAAATAAAACAGTTTCTTACTGTTGGGCTAAGTCAAAAAGTTGAAAAAACACTAGTTTAGATGATCGTGAAGCTCCACGCAGCTCCCGTGGCCTGTATTCCCTGTAACAGTGACCCTTGTGCTCCGTCTGCCGTCCCCACCAGGGGTGGGTCACCTGCTGTCGAGAGAGAAGAGCTAGAAGGACCAGTCAACAGTTGCGGCCCCGACTTTGAAGCGAAGTCCTTTCTGTGTTAAGCTGCCTATGTCCAAAGACACTCCTTTAAGAGTGTTTAAGGGCCTTGTGTTCATGAGAAGGAGGGGCAAGTATTGATTAACTTTACTCTTTGTTAAATAAACATATCAAATTTAATAAAGTGTGTAACTTCCAAACCAATGACAGGGAGAGAATGGAACTAAAGGAAAGGAAAAAAGACCTCGAATAATAAAAAAAAAAAAAAAAAAGGAGGATGGGGAGAAAAACATGGATGTGTGAGACAAAGACCAAAGCAAGATGCAGGAAATGAGTCCCAATATACCAAAGACCAAACACAGCGTTTACTATGGTGTAGTTTTAAAAAACAGATGACTCTGAGCAATCTGATAGCTCACAGCACACCCATAGGTGGTAAGACCATGAGGAAAAGCAAGATAATTAACATGAATTCACGATATGGTTATTTCTGCAGGAGAGGAAGGGCCACTGGACGGGCACACAGGAGGTTCTAGAGTTAATGGTAATGTTCTATTAAATAAATCAGGTGGCAAGTACACAGGTATTTAAAAAAGGTTTTATTCTTTGAACTTTACATATACCTTTCTGTAATTTTGTTTGATATATTTCTCATATACTTATACACATCAAAAAGAAAAGATAAAAGTAAATGGACGCTCGGCTAGTGTGGCTCAGTGGTTGAGCGTCAACCCAGGCACCAAGAGGTCACTGGTTCAATTCCCGGTCAGGGCGGCACATGCCCAGGTTGTGGGCCAAATCCCCAGTGGGGGGCATGCAGGAGGCAATCAACTGATGCTCTCTCCTTAATGTTTCTATCTCTCTCTCCGTCTCCCTTCTTCTCTCTCTAAAATCAATAAAAAAAAAAAAAAATTATTTTTTAAAAATAAATGGACAATGTTTTCCTAAAAACTGTTTTCTAAAATGAGGTTTATGCCCTGGCCAGTTTTGCTCAGCGGTTAGAGCATCAGCCTGTGGTCCAGAGAGACCCGGGTTCGGTTCCCCCCAAGGGCACGTGCCTCGGTTGCAGTTTGTCCCCGGCCCTGGTTGGTCATGCGGGTGGCAGCCGCTTGATGTGTCCCTTTCACGTAGATGTTTCTCTCTCTCTCTCCCCCTCCCACTCTACCTGAACAAAAGATGGAAAAGTGTCCTCAGATGAGGATTAAATAAATAAATAAATAAAATGGGATTTTTTTTTAAGTCATAAAAGCTTTTTTCCCCTCTAGCATGGAACTCTAGTTTGGATTAATCAGAGAACTGAAACACTCTAAATAAGTTTTCAAATGTATACTCTGTTTGTCACATGCAGTAATTCATACATATTTTTCCTTTGTATCAAATTACACCCTTCATTCAGTCAACACCTGACAAACTTTTCATGGAGCAATGATTACATGCCAGGCACTATTCTAACATGTCACATGAATTAACCATTTAATCTTCATAACAACCCTTGGAAATAGGTACTGATACTTCCCCCATTTTAAACCTGAGGAAACGGAAGCACAGAGAAGTTAGGTAGTATGCTCAAAGCCACACAGCTGATAAGGGGAAGAGTCCGGATTTGAACCTAGGCAACCTGGCTCCAGAGCCTGTGCTCCAGTCCACATGCTAGGTTGCTCGGAAGTGGGTCCTAAAAAAATCTTATTACTAAATTGGGTGATGGAAGAGCGGGGAGAGGAAGGTACTTCTGGGCTTTAAAGTCCCATTCATAGTATGTCATATCTGGTTTGCTAACAGAAAGATTTTTCAGGTCATGGATGGATGGAAGGAAGGAAGAAGGAAGGAAGGAAGGAAGGAAGGGAGGGAGGGAGGGAGGGAGGGAGGGAGGGAGGGAGGGAGGAAGGATGGGAGGAAGGGAGGAAGGAAGGATGGGGGGAAAGGGGAGGGGAAAAGAAAGAAAGAAGGCAAGAGGAGGAAGAAAGAAAAATTCCAACAAAAAGATATGCTGGCCATGGGAGTGAGAAGAGAAACACAAATCTGACCTTTTCTTTATACTGTTTCCAGGAATAACAAAAGGCAAGTCTTTGACAGAACAGCCCCAAACGCTAACAGCGAAGCCAGAGAGAGGGTGCTTCTGGGCTGTCCTGAGATGACGCGCCTCTGGGCCAGTAACCTGGGACGCGCCACTTAGTTCCAGGACTGCTCCCCCCGCACATCCCAGAGCAGACGCACAGTTTATCCAACAGGTCATTCTTTGGGGGGTTTTAGTGTATGTCAGCAGCTAGATAGGAGGCCGCCCACAAAATTTCAAAGGAGAAGAATATATCAGGAATGGGTTAGCCCTTAAAAACTGTAATCTTGACCCTGGCAGGTTTGGCTCAGCGGTTAGAGCGTTGGCCTGCGGTCCGGAGAGACCCGGGTTCGGTTCCCGCTAAGGGCACGCACCTCGGTTGCAGTTTGTCCCCGGCCCTGGTTGGTCGTGCGGGTGGCAGCCACTCGATGTGTCCCTTCACATCGATGTTTCTCTCTCTCTCTCTTCCTTTCTCTCCCTTCCACTCT